GGGAGAGTGGGTTGGAAAGAGGGAACCGATTACAAGGAACTGTATGTGACCTCCTCCCTGGGGGTCGGACAACAGAAAGTGAGTGAAGGGAGACGTCAGACAGGGCAGGATATGACCAAATAAACAATTTACAAATTATCAAGGGCTCATGAAGGAGGGCAGAGCGGGGAAGGAAGGGAAAAAATGAGGACCTGATGCCGGGGGCTTAAGTGGAGAGCAAATGTTTTGAGAATGATGAGGGCAATGAATGTACAATTATGCTTTACACAATTGATGTACGTATGGATTGTGATAAGAGTCATATGAGCCCCTAATACAACGATTAAAAAAAAAAAAGAAAGAAATGTCACTGCATCATAGGTAGCATAGGCACTCAACTCCTAGCTGAAAAATTGGCAATCTGTACACACCCGAAGGACCCGTGGAAGACAGGTGTGGGGATCTACTTCCGAAAGGTAAAAGGTAACCACGTGGAAAACCCTCGGCAATCGTTCTCTGCACCACTCAAAAGCAACACCAACAATTGTGAGAATATATATTCCTGCTTGCTAAATCCACCTACGTCCATTTCTGTTATGTAGCAGGTAGCACTAGTTAACCCCGACATTCCATTATCCCTTTAAGCCAAAAACCAAGCCATGACTGTGGAGACCATTCTGACTCACAGCCAGTGAGCCTATAAAACTCACTGCAAGTCAAATCCAACGCATAGCGTCCCTGTGGGACTGAGTAGAACGGCCTCCGTGTGTTTCCCAGACTGCAGATCTTCAAGGGAGTAGAAAGCTTCATCTTTCTCCCATGGAATGCGCTCTGGTTAGCAGGCCAACCTGGAACCAGGATACACCAGGGTCCTGAGTAAAAGTGTCCAATGGGTTTCTAAAGGCCACAATCTTTGAGAAGTGAACTGTCAAATCTCTGGTGTTCCTTTGGGCTCAAAGTCAAAGCTCATTTGCCACTACCTCTTAGTCCTAATGAATTACATCAGCACTCACTGGAAATCAGTGTGATTATCAACACCAGGTGCAAGCTTACGGATACACAATTTCCCTACCTCCACCTATGACCTACTAAATCAGAATCTCTGGGTTGGAGACCAGCAGTTTAAAAAATTCTCCTATATGCCAACTGCCTAGAAGCATTGCCCAGGACCCTAAGCTCCTGAGCACACACCCCCTACCTTATTGACCTCTGAGTTCCCAGCACCTTACGTTCTGCCTGGATGGAACAAGAGATCTACGGTGAAGGACTGAAAGAATTTTTAGTTAATCCTTTGAAAGATTCCCTCAATTTCCACTGTCTTTTTAGAGCAACTAAAATTCCAGAAAACATTATACATATTCTTCAGCCCGTGATGTCTGCAGGTATTCTTGTCAAAATACAAAACTCTATGCCGTTGAGAAGCCACGGTACAAGACAAAGTCGAACTGCCCCTGTGGGTCTCTGAAACTGTTAGCTCTTTACAGGGGTGAAAAACTTCATCGTTCTCCCAAGGAGTGGCTGGTGAATTTTTCTATGGAATTAAACACTTCGACTTCTGGATTTGTTAAAGTCCAGTGCACAGAGCATTTCAATAATATACTAAGGGGTGCTGAATTTAGTGAAAATTTATAGCTGGTTAAAACACGCACAAAACAATATATGTATAGAATACTTTTTTACACATTCTAACGCAGAGCAGGTGGGACACTCTGCTCACAACTTGGTTATTTGTAGCTTCCTTTGTCATTTATCTTTCTTTTTGAATATTGTGTTGTTTTTCTTTTGGTAGTTTAGGAAGAAAATGCAAATTTTACAGTCACAATAAAGGCTGCTGCATATCAAAACATTACCTCAGACTTACTAGTTTCTCACAAGTCTTTTTGCTATATATGTGGCTCAGAAGATTTACTGAGTTCACGTTAAAATTAGGAAGCCTATTAGTATGCGTTTTCAGACATAAGTTCAGTTTTTTAAATTGATGCAAAGAGATCATACCTTCAGTTTGAAATGCTTTTCTGTATATTGAAATAAAAACGACATAATCCTTAAACTTTAACATACACACTCCCATTGGGTACAACTTAACCTGGTTACCACCCACAGCTTTAAATCAGTAACTAAGAGTGAATTACCATATATACTCGTGTATAAGCCAGGTTTTTCAGCACATTTTAAATACCGTCTTTGTGGTAATATTAGGTGCCTCGGCTGATATCTGGGTTGGCTTGTACTTGAGTATATCCGGTAATGTAATCTATGGTAGGTGCCATCAGGTTGATTCTGACTCCTAAGACCCCATATACAACAGAGCAAAGCACTGCCCAAGCCTGCACTATCTTCACAAATGTTGTTGAGGCCCCACCATTGTGTCAATCCGCCTCATCAAGGGTCTGCCCCTTTTTTAATGACCCTTCATTTATCCAACCTGATATCCTTTTCCAGGAATTAGTGTCTCCGGATGACATGTCCAAAATACTTGCGATGATGTCTCGCCACATTTGCTCCTCGGGAGCGTCCTGGCTATACTTTTTTCTAGACAAATTTGTTTGTTCTTCTGGCAGTTCACATCCTTTTCAATATTCTAATCTAGTAGGTAATTGCATTTCAATTATGTCCTAAACACAAATTCACTTAAAGCACATATTTGACAAAAGATTAGGTTGTTTTGTTTAACTGGTTGGTTATCTGGAGAGGAGGGAGTTTCCCAAGGCAGAGCATTGAATTGCAACATCTGCAATTAAAATTGCTCTTAATAACCAAGTACATGGAAAAATGATAAAACATTAAAAATAACCACAAGTTTTCAGAGTCACTTGTGAACATCAGCCTCTGTATTTCATACCACTGAATTCCTCAGGAAGACATTTTCCTCCTTCCCATTTTCTCCCCAGTCCAAGCCTACACCTTTCACGGGAAGCCAGGGAGTCAACTGGGATCAAAGTGCTGTCTCAGTGCCAAGTTCATCCAGGAGGCCCAACAATGGAATCACATCATTCCCAATTGTCCTGGGAGAGGACAACAGATATATATGTGAACTACGCTTAATAGCAACAAAAAGGAGTTAAGGGCTAAGCATTCCCCAGGTTAAAAACCTTGGCAATTCAGGTTGCGTCTGATTAATCTGATGAGAATTGGTGGGGAGGTGGGGGCGTGGGGGCGTGGGAATCCTTTTCCCTTACTCTTTGGCAAAACTCAAAAGCCTTTGGCCAGGTATGCTGTAGAAATACAAGCACTGAGTAGATGAAGTGGGTAAGCAAATAGACAGGCAGTCCCTGAATTATACACATCTAATTGAGAAACTATCCAAGTCAAACCCCACAATGCCCATGACATTAAAAATTCAATGAACATGCAATCGTTAACATGTTTGTGAACCATTGCATGTACAGTACCTTGATTTTTAAGTGTGTGAATAATGGTTCACAAAGTACTACTTTGTGATGTGCATCAAAACATTATTATTGCTGTGTTTTTATGTTAAAGATGTTTTCGTGTATCTGCAAAGTATTTAATACTTTTTATACATAGAAAAGAACACTTCATGCTTCATACTAAGCCAAAATTTGATTAGCTGACAGTAGATCTCAACTGTACCTGTTTGGGCTTGTGTATACATTTGCCTGGCAGACAGACTTAGGAATGGATCCAGTCGTAATCTGATGACTGCACAGGAGTCCCACAATAAACTCTAGTAGAAAAGCAATAGAAAAAAAAGGGGGGGCGGGGGGAGCATGTGTGGACAAAATTATGCATGAGACATGTTCGATAAGGGGAAATTTAATAGAGAGCTGGATGAGTACACAAAAATTACATTCAAAGTTCTCACATGACATTTGTTTTTAATTCCTAGATTTAAGCCATTACAGCACAGCAGGACTAAGCAGCACCGTTCACATTTAAAGCTGGATGTCATTTAGTATCAATACCCCTAAGATGGCACGAGCCAGATTTTGCAGAATGCCAGCCAACCAGGAATTCCATCAGGGGAATATAAATGCATCCAATTTACTCCCTCTCATTAACTTAACAGTCAGGCTTTGAACAATGCAATCGATTAACATATTCATTGTTCTCTTATGCTTTTGCCTCAATTTTTTACTTCTTGAGGGATCAAAGATGGCTGAATACTTCGTAAACAACTGCTCCGGTGAAACGATCTATGTAAAATGCAGAAGCACCAGAAGTGCCAGAATTATTTTTTCACTATTTCAAGGGAACTACAAAAATGCTAAGAGAAACAAATCTATGAAGCAGGTTTATTTTTATTTGCATTTAACAGGATTATACACATTCATATGTCTAACAAGATCTGCACTGTTACATTAAAAATACAGTACAAGAACATTCAACATGAGGTACTTCATATTTAGATTTTTCCTTCATAAATAATGTTATAAGCTACTAAATTCAAGCACCTTGATGCACAAATGACTAGTGTCCTGAAATTAGCTGAGCTTATTTAAACACCTGAAAAAAACAAACAAAAGACAGTTCAGTGCAATAATTATATAAGAAAGTTGACCGTTTACTTAAATACTATTGTATGTTCAGAGAATGTTACATTAGAGCGGCTAACCTAGTTTCCCTTTGTCCCCAGTATTAACAATGACAAAGAAGGCCAGATACACTGAGAAAAGAATCTACCGCATATCCTCCTTAATAAAGTTGCGCTTATAGATCAGAGTGGCCTGCTTTGTCAGAATAAGAGCCTCTAGTTGTAAAAGCTACAAAATCAGTTAACCAAAGAAAACAAAGCAAGCCGACCAGCCTTCATTCCATTTTGTCAAAAATACAAAATCAAAGATAGGGTTTAAAATATAAAATTTCTTATTTAAAAACAATCTGCAAATTTAACCTACAGCTTTTGGCACCAACCAGATGTCGGCGGGGCCTTCTTCTTTCGTTTCTAGCTGAGAGTAATTAGTACAACATGAAGCTCTCGGCCCAGCCTAGAGCATAAGGATCTCATCCGGGGTTTCACCTAGCAGGTCCCTCACCACACGGAGGTCAGCGAGTTAACAGGAACACTGACTGGAGTGTTACAGGAATGAACGATCGTCACTCTAAGGCTATCACACCACCTCAAGAATCTCAAACGATGAAATTAGTGCTAAATAAAGCATCCTCTCCTCTGGCTTCAAAATGAGTGCCTTCTGGTCAGAATATACCTGATCGGCATGGTAGCTATAAAAGCTGCTGAAATGCTCAACTTAAAAGCATAACCTTTCACAGAAGTATTTTCTGAAATGGGAAATGTACCTTTGTTTCATTCATCCTTTGCCAAAACTATCTGTAATTTTCCTCAAAGGAAATAATTGATTGATTATTTTGGTACCTTGTCCAAGAAGTCCTCATCTATAATTACCAGCTTCTGATCATCTATGCGTACAGAGTCAGGTAATGGCAAAGGTGATTAGGGAAATTTCCCATAATCCAGTGTTCTCCTCCATCGGGGAAGCTGGCTGGCCACAGGGCCCACATCTATAGGGGAAGAAGTGGTCCAGAAGCACAGTGAACAAGGAAAGGTTAGTCACTTGCTGGGGCCACGGGGGATCATTTCTGTCCCACCTCTCACTCACCAGACAGGGAGGAGACAATTCCTGAGTCCACAAAACGCACTTGTGTGCGCATGGGTGCGCACGCACACACACACACCCCAGGACTAACCCCTGGCTCCAGACAAGCCAGTTTCAGGCTTGAAGGGCAGGAGAAGGAGGCGGCCAGGGACCACACTCTGGGTGGTGGGGGAAGCGCTCTCAGGATCACAGGGAGCAGGAATGCTGCCCAGAAACACATGGAGACTTCAGCTGGCAGTGGGCACCTTAGGCACTGCCAGGGATACAGGCACAGAACCATCACAAGCCATCAATGAAAGAGAATTGTCTTGGTGAGTGGGATGTGATGCTGATGCAATAAATATTAGGTATAAATTAGTGTCACTCCCGACCATTTTCCCTACAACCCTGCAGGCATATATTGGCACTTTAAGGCGGTAGCCAAAGGCCAGAATTTAGCATCCAGGACAATTATAATTAACTAAGATAGTACATAGTCAAAAATAGGTCAATCAATTTTAGACTAAAAAAAAAATCTGTGAATAAAGTGTCTTCCACAAACATATAGTACTACAAAAGTAAATGCTATTCTATTTGTCTGTTTGGTCCTCTTTTAATGGGGAAGAATAGGAATTCCATTTTCGAGGCAAACAAGCAAATAGTGGGGATAGGAAGCTAAGTGGAGAGAGAGGCTTTTTCAATGTGTGTGTTTTAATGTGACATTAGTCAATCTATTTGTGGATGGAATTTTTCAGGCTCCCTCCCCAAATTATTTTAGTTCAACTTAATAGGCCTGCAGTATTTTTCTATTGGCAGAATTTTAAGATATATACACAACTTAGTTTCTTCAAAGAAAAGTAGTCTATGTGCTTCAACAATTAGTGTTCTAAACTAAGTGGAAGTAAATCTGCTTGACACAGAAGTCATGGCCAAGAGAAATACTCACTTTCTTATTTTCCTTCTTCGGCTTTAACCTGACACTTTGTAAGGTTCAATATGTAACATTATAACTTGAAGGTTTCAAAAGAAAGCAAAGCCCCCCCAAAAAAGAATCTAAAAGGACTGAAATAAAAGCCAAATATGTCTACTGTCGATTTTCTAAAATTCAAACAAAATGTCTTTTAAAATTGTATACTGAAGTTTGCCTTTTTTTTTTTTCTTTAATGAGGGCGGAGTACAGAGCTCTGGTTAAAGCAACTGTTGTCATTATTATTTTAAGCTATTTATTTTCTACTCATCAAAATAAAGTCCAAAAGGAGATGAGATGACTCCAAACATTTCTTAAAAAGCACAAAAGTGGCAGGGGTCAAGAGGGCAGATGGAAGGGCATGAAAGGTCTCTAGTACACATACACTTTAAAAGCAAGGGCTCGGTTCTTTTAAGCATACACTTAAAAGCGGAATGCTGCATTTTTGCCTGTATACAATTAGAAGGTTGAAAGAAATTATAAACTGCAGACAGCTTCATTGGCTGCAAATCACTTGCGCTGAGCATACATCTGCAGATGAGCTGAGCATCAAGCAAGCCAGAACCAGAGATGCACCTCCTAACAGCTTCCACCACGGGGAAATGAGTTCTCAAGCATAGAAGATAAGTTCGGGGATCTGGCCGCCCTGGACACCAGTGCCGTTGGTGCTGTCTGAGGAGCACTGGAACTGCACGGTCACTTTGCCACACTGCACCTCGGTCATGCCTTCTTGGCCGAAGTAGCTGAGTTCGTTGCCATCGAGAATCACACTGGCTGTATAGAAGGTGTCCGGCTCTATCTGCACCGGGTATTCAAACCACACGGGGAAGGTATTGCTGGAGCCATCTGAGAAGTATTTGCTCAAGTTCTGCCCCAGGACAACGCCCTGGCGCTTGAGTTCAATCTTGGCACTGTACTCGGCAGAGCCACAGCTGGAGCCGTACAGGCCGAAGCCGGCGATGAACACTCTTTTGTCAACTGCAAACTGGATGCTGTCGCAGCGGCCCCGATAGCGCCACTGGTTGCTGCGATAGGCACAGGACTGGAAGCGGTGGCAGCGCTGGGGGACAAGGCCCTTGCGGGCTTTACTCACGAACTGCAGCTCCGGCTTCTTGGCCGCAGTGTACCAGAGGAAGATGTCGTTGGTCTCGTTCAGGGTTAAAACTCCGGACTGCGCAGCACCATTGGCAAAGTCATCCAGGGCCATGGTAGGTATTCGGATCAAGTACAGCGCTTTCCCAAGGACCTTCCGTTTGTTTTCGATGCTCAGGGCTAGATCTTGTCGTTGGCATTCGACTTCCGCCCAGTTGAGGGCGGCCTCGAAGACCACGATTTCTTTGGCATTCAGAGTTTCCCTGCGGAGGATACTTTCTAGCGTCTGGAAGTCAATGTCGCAGAAGCCCTCGGACTTGAGGGCCAGCTCAGCTTGGGCGTCGATCACCTCCCAGCACCGCTGGGTCAGGTCCGGCTCCTCGAACAGGCAGCTCTGCGAGAGGAGCACACAGGCGTTCTTGGCGCTCAAGCTGGTTTCCAGGAAATTGACACAGGCTCTGGCCAGGTGCGGGACGATGTACTTTTTGGCAGCATAAAGGGTGGCCAGCACAGTGTCAGCAGCCAAGTCAATTTCATCACAATAGATATACCTGAAAGGAAGCGCACAGCATGTCAGCGGGATTCTTCATCTGGCAAGAAAGAAGGAACTACGTTCAAGTTCTCAAAAAAAGGACCTTAAGGGAGACTTCTTAGCAAAAACTGCTCAGAAATAAGAGAAACACATAAATGACTGATGGGTGAACTCGGTGCTACGTCTGCATGATTCAAGACCTTAGCTTTCTGCTGCCTTTTCACCTCTATTTTACAATTTGCACTCAGTAGGTTCTCAGAAAGGATGGCAGAGATGGAGCTCGAGAAAACTGCTTATCAGAGGCAGCATTAGAAAATACGTGGAAAATCCTGTTGCCTGTATGATGTTCAAGGAGCCTTGATGGCAACATGGGGCAGCAATGGGCCGTGAACCACACAACAGAGTTGAAACAACCAGAGGTCACCGGCTGCCATGTGAATTTCCAGTCCCAGAAAAAACCCATCAGGTCTTGCCGATGAGTCAGAATTAACTTGATGGCTGTAGGTTTGCGTTTGTATTTACTCAAAGTATAGTCCTCGTTTGTCTCAGTAGCAAGATGCATTAATTTATCTTAAAACCTTTCTGCACATTCATACAGAACCAAAAAAATACCTTGGTGTTTTTAAGTGTGACACGGAATTCTTCTACCCACAGAGCAAGTTGTTTCAAGTTCAACAGATTATCAAATATACTATCTCAATGCTATCTTCCAGCGAACTTTGGAGAGACTTCAACACAGGATTTTTTTTAATCATTTTTGAAAAGAAAATTTACACCTTCCTGTCTGTCAAACATTCGTCCACCTTTAGAATTAGAGAATATTTCATTTCCAGGCATGTTTAATTAATAAACAAACCCGTTAGTGTGCACCTATTTTCGTACTGCTGTGAACTGTCCCTATTTCTTGAGAAGAGATAGTTCTGTGCGTTTAAAGAACTAGGGCTCACTCCCAGGATGTTACATAAAGTCAGCAATCATCGGCTTCCTGTACACTGCTCCGCGGCCCCAAGAGTCAGGCAATGAGAAGAAGGCACGTGAAAGATCAATACTGATAACGCTGCATTTGAACATTTTTCTAGTGAAGGTGTAGAACTACTTGCTCTGAAGTTTTACCTCTAATTATTATATTTCACTTTCATGTGAGCAATGACTTCTAAAAGGACAAAACCACAAGGGCAGCGATGAGAAAATTTTCCACAATCACGACGGGAACCTGCAGGTTTTCTGCCCGGAAGCCCTTTCTCTGCTCCTATAGGCTGAGCCAGCGACCACTGGCCGGGCATCCACAACACTCCTTCCTGCAGCTTGCTGGTGCTCCAACAGCAGCGCCAGGGCCCTGGGGAGGACCAGGGAGCCCTGTCAGCAATCTGTAGCTATCTCCCTGTAAATACCAAGGGAGAAGCCCCCGCCTTTTCTCAGCAGCCCCCTTTCTAGGAATTCTGCCTGTACCTCCAGACTGCTGGAGTGAGGAACTCTGGCCACCACTATCCCAGATGACAGTGGAAGGAACCAAGTCCAGCACAGCAGCAGTTTGCTTCTGATTTTTTTTTCCAATTACATTTCTGATCTTTACTCCTGTACATGGTGAGGATATTAAAATGCATGTATCCTAGAAATTATGTCTGTGAGACAAGATACTTTTTAAATGATAAGTCCAATGATGGGTAAAATAATAACTTGGGTGATTCTTGCTCCCGTTTCCTAATTACAAGTATATCTGAAATTATTCAATACTGTCCTTGACTACAGTGAAACTAAGGTGCTACACTAGGGTTAGTGTTGACCTCAGCCACAGATAACATTACATACACACACACACACACACACACACACAGCTGTGACTTCACTGAAAAAAGACACACAAACCTCAAACTGTTTGCTGTACACATATATTTCTAAAGCATTACACAGGTCAGGAAGTGCTGTTTTGCTTTAAAATGTGGCTTAGTTTATATTTTGACCTGCTATCCGCTTGTCCTCCATTCCCTGCCTCCCTCCAGTGGGTTCAGACAGTGGCCCTGTTGGGTCGCAGCCAAGCAGATAGCTGCACCACCAGGGCTCCATGGTGAAAGTTCTAGCTGGTAGTAATTAGATTCCAAAACTGGGATACACACAAACGATTAAATACACTTATATTCTAAAACTAGCTATAAAACATGTTTAGCAGGTAGCAGACACGCTTAGAAGAATTACTGCCCAGTTTTACTGATCCCTGAGTTAAATTCTTTACAAGCACTGCAGTTGATGCCTGTCTTACAGCAGCATGTAACTTGGAACTGTGGTTGATACCCTGTGATGAGTAAAGACTAAGAAAAGCTGTTTCATAGTAGTGAGAATAATCATGGGATTTTACTCAAATTGCAGATTGTTATATTGTATAGCACCCACAGTTGGTAAAATAGCTGACTCGATTTACCTGGTTAACATTTATTAGATTTTAGAAAAGCCATACTAGACGTAAAAGGGTTTCAAAAAGTTCATGGAAAAAAGATAATGAAATTTACCCATCAATTTTTTAAATCTCCCTTGTTTAAAAGTAATCTTTATCAATGCATAAAATAAATCCCTATTTTTTAGCTTTGCATTTCATACTTTCTGTTAAAGCTTTGTATATAATCACATATAAACTAGAGAAATCTACAGCTTTCAAATTTTTCTTTTGTACGATGAAATGTTTCTTATTCTTGAGAATAAATGTCTGATTTCACTTACGAGATAGTTAAAAAACAAAAAAGAGGATGCACATGTGTACACAGTGATCAGATTATGTCAACAGATAAGTTTTGCATTTGTTGATAGCAGTCCTTATAATACTGAGAAATATCCTAACTGGTCCTATTTAGGCTCGACATATAATTTATAATATTGTGATGGAAACATATAATTTATTTCAAGACTTTTCCACAGTGCTTTCAGAGATAGCTTGGTCTATTAAACGATGTTTCCACCAGCAAGTTCTTTTTCTTTCATTATAAATCATTAAAAATCAAATCACTCTTCATTCTACTTGTCCCCAAATCCCATGGCAAGGTGTGATTATAAAAGCCTGCATCATTCCATACACTTCGGCTGAAGGATGCACGGTAGTTTCTTTAAAAACACTAAGCAGGGAAGCAGCACCCTCTTCGTCCTCGGCGCTTCCCATACTGTGACACAGCCCTCCTCTTTACCCGTGAGCCCCCACAGAGTACAAGTACAGCACACGCCGACTCTCTCCCACCGGATGCATGATGCTTACTTCAGCATAGCGAGAAAAGCAGCAGGTTCGACATCTGGTATACGGATTTCATCTTTGTCCTCAGCCAGTTCTCCATAAAACATTGCATGGAACACAGAGCTCCCAACAGCTAAAACATACTGTGAAAAAAGGGAAATCTTATTTCATGCACTAAACTGAAACGCATTTTCAGCAAATCAATCCAGAAAAACAACTCTTATGCACAGAGCCAACTAAACCAGCTCCTTCCACAAAAGCTAAGGGACAGCGCATCTTGCTGTGGAAGCCTAAAATAGCCACACCAAACAGTGTCTGTGCTGCTAATTACTTCAAAGCTTTAAAGGATTGATGCGCAATCCCCCTCAGTACAAAACCAAGTAAAAATGACATGAAATAAAAAGCTTCCCGGACCGGTGACTAGCAAATGGTAACAGATCGTTGACTTTTCTAACCTGTCACACCAACTTCCTGAGATCTGATTCCTTGACAGCAGAGTTGAGGGGGGCATGGTTTTGTGTGGGATATAAAGCAGGGATATAAAGGAGACAAAGGAAAAATTAGTGTGGCCAAAACCCTCTGAAGAGGCCGAGCTTTCTCTGTGACCGGGCAACACATGCACTGCCTGCCATCAGCAAGCTGCCCACCCCAAGTTCCAGGCTCACAAAGAGGGTCCCTTCTTTTTAAGTCTCAAGTCTAAGCCAGTAATGCAGCTGTTGCTTACTTTGTGTCCTGGCAACCGCTGAGTCCCACCTGGTGGGCCAACCACAAAATGTACATCTGCCATCAAATCGTTATTGAACATCACCGCATTTCTATAAACAGAGGCAAGTCATTAATTCACAGCAGCCAGCATTTCACGGGCCCCTTCTCCCACATACAAAACCCACAAAAGATTTTGAGAGCTAAGCAACAGTTTAATGACTTCAGGGCAAAACAACAAATAAGGGTTCTAACTAAACAACTGTGTTTGTAATCATTGCAAACACATGGGACGTATAAAGTTTAAAGAAGAAGAAACAAGGAAAAGTTACCCAAACTTTTCACAAGGCTAAGGACAAATAAAATGTTTCCACCTTCTACGGCCCACAGAGAGCCCAGCCCTGTCAGTTAAATGTCACAGCTTGCAAAAACATTTTTATCTAGTAGGAAAACAGCTGGACCGTTTTGGAAAAGATACAAGGCAGTTTTCCATGACCAAAAAAGCTTCTGGGAAAAGAGGAAACACAGATTTGTGTTAAAATACATTACAGGTTGTGCAAAAGCAGAAACTTCAACACAGGAAAACTTTCTAAAGTAAACACGCTGGCCCGGCACTTACCTTTCTCTAATGGTGGGGTACAGACCCTGCCAGTTTGGGGCTGGAATCAGGTTGTTGTTGCTGAGATTCTGCTGGTGGTACTGCTGGGCAGTGGTGGTGCTGGCGCTGGCTGGTTTTTTACGAGGGAATATATCAGCAGCCATCTTCTTCTTCTTCTTAGTCTTCAGGGTAATAATTTCATAGCAAACTGGAGGCAACTTGCTGCTGCCGCTGCCGCTGCCGCTGCTGCTGCTACTGCTGGTGGTATTTGTTTTCTTCGGGCTTTTCTTGGACCTGTTCTTTACCGTCTCTGGAAGCATCAAGAAGAAGGTGAGACATTTCATGTTCTTTTCCTTTTCATCTACCATGAGTACAGTATGTCTCTCTCTCTTTCTCTCTCTCTCTCTCTCTAGCTAGGTATCTCAAATCGGTGGGGACATCAAGGAAAAGAGGCTAGCATGCGTTAAGATGTTCACAGACACCAACAAGCTGTTATTTTGCTTCTTTTCTCAGCCAGGCAAGGTGACCTTTTCACTAAGTGGAAAAGAAACTGGCTTAAGTTTTATCCAGTATTTGATCTGTTAAATACATCCCCATCATGATTCCTGTTTGTCTTATTTGTTCATAAGAATCACCCAGTTTCCTAGATCACCTGGAAACGCTATACTGAGCGAAGCGGACAGGCACAGAGCCGCTGCAATTGTTTTCTGAATTAGCTTAGAGGCAAAATATTGCTGGAGCCGCCGGAGTCGGCTCTGCCTGCTGAAGTTATGTGTTGAATGGATCGGAGAGTAGGTGTTACAGCCCTGCAGATGGAGTCAGACAGCCAGTGCTCTGAGCCAATAGCTGGAGTCACCGATCATGATTGGACCAAGCGAAACAGTGACACCTATTGTAATGTGCACAGTTCTGATATTAAAGGAACAGCAGTTGCACTCTTGCCTATTGCATAGTTAAATAGGGCAAACAACATATGAAACACATTTGAGAACAGCATTAGAAGAGTTTATGCTCACAGATTCATCTTCTGTAAACATACATTTTTACTGACCCAGTGAAGCAGGCTGGATCAATCAGCCAAGGGTAGAAGCTGATAGCTACTCTACGTTTCTAGTAAAATCTCTTAATCAGCAGCAGTTTAGAATGTTTCCAGTTTTAAGGCTAAAAAGGACAGCTTATAGCAAAACCGTACTAAACACATCTATTACAGACTGAAAGGAGTGATAATGTTTTTAATTACTCCAGTTTCTTTGAATGTACATTATGTGTTAGTACAAAATAAGAGATGAGTTATGGATTCAGATTACCTCCCTGCATTGTCTCCTTCCTATGATGATCTTTAACAGGCGTCTCCCATCACAAAAATAATGTTAATTAAAGTAGGATTTATCAGTATGCAGAGCTACATTGAAATAGAAGACCGATTTTTGATGCAAAGTAAGATTCAAGTGAGAGAAAACTAGTAATAGGTGTTACAAGGTTTAATTCACTGAAAATACGTCAGACTAGGTTTAGTCAGAGTTCCAAAGCCCATTTGAAATGTTATGGCTGCATTTTGGGTTGGTCATAAATTTAAAGACTGTAATTCACATTCTGTAATACAAAACCAATGATACAGCTACTCAAAGTAATATATGCTCTGATGCTGCCTGGTTAAAATGCAAACAGGTTCTCTCTGCTTTGAGTCAGAAGAATATAAAGTATTATGTGGTTCCCATCGATAGAATCCTCCAACAATGTATTTCTAGAGTGGGTAAGAGAAAACAAAAACACCTGTAGCAGATTTCACACATGCTTATTTATTTATAAAGAGGGACTAATGAGAGATGTAATCCCACCACCCCCTGCTTCCCTATTTAGATTATCATTTGTTCAATACAAGCAGCCATTTGTACCCACTCCAATCTAATTCACCCTCCAAGACCACACACTCCTGTTTGTTGCACAACAGTCCTGAGTGATGAGTGCCTCGACTGCGAGCAGCGCCGCAACTGGACTCCTCTTGTGATTGTGCCAGCTCATCTCCTAGAGGTAACCTGCCAGAAACCCGTCTCTGCACCCTTAGGATCTAAGTCACGAAGAAGAATGTTATTATTGTTACTCTTTAAACTATCTGCAAAGTCACTGGGAAGATGTACTGTACAAGAACCATGCTTGGCACATGGTTGTCCACCCCCTTTTTAGATAGGCCCTAAAATGCTGCTTGTTTCATACAATTATTGTATTCCTACTCGCAGGGCTACCACATAGACACATATCTACATTTCCAAATCACCTTCAAACACACTAAAACATGGCATTAGAGAAAGAGCTCTAAATCAAAGTATTTTTTTAGTTTATTTAATTTATTTTTTAATTGTTTTCTTAGGGGCTCATACAACTCTTATCACAATCCATACATACATCAATAGTGCAAAGCATATTTGTAAACTTACTGCCCTCATCGTTCTCAAAACATTTGCTCTCCACTTAAGCCCCTGGCATCAGGTCCTCTTTATTTCCCCCTCCCTTCCCGCTGCCCCCTCCCTCATGAGCCCTTGATAATTTATAAATTCTTATTTTGTCATATCTTGCCCTGTCCGACATCTCTCTTCACCCACTTTTCTGTTGTGCATCCCCCAAGGAAGAAGTCACATGTAGATCTTTGTAATCGGTTCCCCCTTTCCAGCCCACTCTCCCTCAACACTCCCAGTATCACCACTCACAACACTGGTCCTGAAGGGATTGTCCACCCTGGACTCCCTGTGTTTCCAGTTCTTATCTGTACCAGTGTACACCCTCTGGTCTAGCCAGATTTGCAAGGTAGAATTGGGATCATGATAGTGGGAGGTGGAGGAAGCATTTAGGAACTACAGGAAAGTTGTATTTTTCATCGTTGCTACATCAAAGTTTTTAAAAGAAAGTGAGGCTAGGCAGGAGGAATAAATGAAGGAACTCAACTATTCAGAATATGCTTTAAAAAGCAAAGGATTTCTCTCCCGTTCAAATGCTACTTAGCTTCCTGGCTGGTTTCTTCTTAGGAAAACCCCAAATTGGGCAGCCCCTTCAGGCTGGGAGTAATCCCAATGTATTTCCAACAAACCTAATCTGACCTTTCAAGTTACAAAGTCAGTGATGATCAAAAGGAAGTGAACCATTTGGAGACAGACATATGGGCAGCTGGACATGTACAAAAAGCAGCAGCACTAAAGAAGATACAGAAACTTAAAGGACTGGAGTGTGCACTGATTTTGCATCCCTCTCAACAATCCCAAGTCAGCTGCATAACCGTGGTTCTGACAGCACGTTAAAGAAAAAAAAAAGTGCATGTAATAGTTTCCTTTTAAGACTAAAATCATAATTCAGAAAATGCCCTTACTGAAATTGAAAATGTCAGATGTTTAGAAAATTAAATTTTGTAGAGAAGCTTCAAAATACTAGATACATTACACAAACGCACTGCCATTTAGCTGGTGCTGACTCACAGCGAGCCCACAGGGCACGGTATAACTGCCTCTGTGCTTCTGAGGACTCTTCTGGGGAGTTGAAAGCCTCCATTTTCTCCCTCAGAGCAGCTAGTAGTTTTGAGCTGCTGACCTTGTGGTTAGCAGCCCAACATGCAATTGTGCCAGATCTTAGTCACCTAGAACAGGGCTGCAAAGGGCATTGCTGATCTCATGTGTAGGGGTAACATGTGTCGCTTTTAAAAATATGTTCTTCACTCTAAGAGATCCTGTGGGCTTGCTTTGTTTTAAAGAAGGAATTTATTTCCATTTTGCTAAGCCAATCTAAAAAACAGAGAAATTTTTAATCCAATCCTGCCCATGGAAAACTTGAAAGCCCCTTTTTCTGATCCCCGCAGTGGTGTTAAAATGTCCGTGCTACTCAGAACGTGGGCCATGAATCAGCAGCCTCACCTTCCTCACTCACTGCCACCGAGTCAGATCTGACTCATAGTGACCCTAAGGACAGGAAGGACTGCCCCTACAGCTTTCCGAGACTCTAACTCTTTACCGGAGTAGGAAGCCCTTTTTTTTTCCTCCTGAGGAGTGGCTGCTGGTTTCAAACTGCTGACCTTGTGATTAGCAGCCCAAACTTGTAACCACGATGCCACCAAGGCTCCTTGTGCTACATCACCTAGGATTTTGTTAGAAATGTAGAATGTCAGTCAGCCTCAACTCCAAATGCTGAGTCAGAATCCTCAGCATTAAACAATAGCCTTGGTTCATTAGGGAGAGGGGAGCGGGGAGGGAGGGCGAAAAATGAGGAGCTGATATCAAGGGCTCAAGTAGAAAGAAAATGTTTTGAGAATGATGAGGGCAACAAATGAACAAATGTGCTTAACACAATGGATATATGTATGGATTGTGATAAGAGTTGTACGAGTCCCTATAAAATGATCAAATAAAACACAATAGCCTTTAGGTCATTCAAGTTGGTAAAAAATCTAATACTGGTAACTGAAGAACTGTATAGTCTTTCCCACTGAGCCACTATCAACATCTGTTGTCAAATTTTTCACTCAATTGTCGAGTCAATGGACAAAAAAATTAAAAGAAATTTAACTTAGGTTTAGACATAAAATGTAAGTGACAATCCAATCCTTCATCGCTCATTCTGAAATTCTTCTGATGTGGCTGCTGTTGCTGTCATGTAGATGTGGACTCCTATTGGCCCCAGGTGCTTCGGGGTTTACCTGCTGCGCTTCTTTGGCTGTGATAATTACAAGAGCAGGCTCCCCAGCCCTTTCCTCCGTGGAACCTACACGAGGTATATTCACACAACCAGCCTTTAGTTAGCAGTTGAGGCGTACTGTTTGTACCTCCCAAATGTCAAAATTCTGGGGTTCAAGTGGATGGATCTGTTCATTCGGGGGCGGGGAGGGGATGTGGAGGGGGTGGTGGTGGTGGGTGTGACAGATCATTTTAATTAAAAATAAAAGATTAAAAAATACAAATGTAAAGAAGACTGCAATGTGGCCTACTAAAAATCATAGAAAAGTAGCAGTATGTACTGATTTTTCTAAGATCATTTCTTTTTCATCTGTCTTTCATATTATCCCATTAGTCAGAACTCAAAAAAATGCTATGTAAATATATAAAGCATTCGTACCACTTTGCTCTTTGCCTTTCTGGTAGTTACATAATGTAGTGTCAATTTGGGACTTGACAGGATTACGTAAAGGGGTGGAGTCTAGTCTGTCAATTAGATGATAGTCAAAGAGGGCTCTGTGTGGGCATGGCCTTCTTCTGAGAATTCTGGGAACTCCTGGATTTCCTCTTTGAAGGTAGGAGACAGACTCTCTCTCTGCTCACTTCCTGGGAGACATCCTTGAGACAAGACACACGGCACTACTAGACTCCGTGCCCTGGGAACTGGAGAAGCCACGTAGAGACTCCAGCCAGCGCTGAGATGCTACCCACTAGCCCGGGATCGTCCAGCATTCAGTGTCACTGCATGTGGTTTGTGAGTCTGAGGAGGATTTTATAGATTGGTGTCGGACATATGGGCTAATATCGGATTTATGGACTTGGATTGGATTGGGTTGGAATGCATTCTTAATGTACAATTACCCTTTATATAAAACTCTTATACACATATGAGTTTCTATGGATTTGTTTCTCTAGTCTACGCAGACTAACACAGCCTTTATTTCTATAATCTAGTAAATGAAGTCCAAACTTGGTTCCATTTCCCCCTTGAAATTAAAATACAAAGTTAAGACTCTATTTATCAAGTCTTTCATCTATGGAGATGAAAGATAAGG